CCGCTTCATCCACGCAATGAAGCACTCGAAGGCCAGAGACCTGCTGTCGGTGTTGACGGCCCAGACGTAGCGAGTAGATGCGTCGATGAAGGTAAGTGTGTACTGCTCCCCGTCGAGCCCCTCTTGGCTGAGCACCATAAAATCGCTGTAAACCTTGTCCAGCGGCTTGTAGCGTTCATACCCTGGGGGCAAATCGAGGAACGGCTGGTGGTTGAGTGACGCGGTTGGGCAGACGATGCACGGCGGGTTAGGTGAGTCTGCGGTGAGGGAACCGTTTCGAGGAAGGAGGAGCGCTTCGTTGTCGAAGACTCCGGCCTTGAGCGAGTTTTTGAGCGTGGCGTGGGAGGGATGTCCTAGCCGTTGGTGCCATGTTTCTGGGTCCGCACGGTAACCGACCGTCTTCTGATAATATTTTTGTCGCGCTGCTTCGTCGTTTGCCTCCCCTTCAGGTCCTGCGTCGGCGGCGTTGTCGGTATCGGCGGCGAGCGCGCGAATTGCTTTTCGCTCCAGAAGCGCGCGGGGAATCCCGATGATGTCGTCGGTGTCGCTGGCTTCGACTTGGTCTTCGGTAACGAGCAGGCACTGGTTGGGCCACTCCCGAACTGGGAGTCCCTTCATGGGGATTCTGAAGTAACTGTATTCAGCGCCGATGACCTCAATTTCTTGTGGTCCTTGTACTGGCGGCTCCGGCTCCTCGGTAGGTTCGGGTAACTCTGTTGGTTCTCCCATAAATTCGTAGGCTTCTTCTTCTGCGACTCTTCTGCCATTTGCTCGGGTGTGTCAGGGGCGTATTGATCTGGGAGAGGTGGACCTCCCCAGCAGGTGCCGCGAGTTGCCCAGTATGGGTCGACGACGGCAACTTCCGCAGGAGGGAAACCAGCTGCTTCCGCGTGCCCTTGTTCTGCTTCGGTCGCGGTGTCCCATCCTCCTCTGGCGCCATCATTTTCTTCAGCGGTCTCTGCTTCTCCAACTGCTTCTCCTGCTGTTACACCAACTTCCTCTGCTGGGGCAGGGGGAGATCCCCAGTCGGTCGCGCCGACTTCTCTCGTTGAAACTGCGCCCCACCCGCTTGCGGCTGCTTCTTCTGGGGTTAGAACTTCTCCCCAGGGTCCGAGCGCGGGCTCGGAAGTGTTCCAGCCCGGCCAGCGTGTCTTTGCCGTCTTGTTTTCCTCGGTTGGTTGAGTTGCAGGTCCCGACGTGCCGCTGTCCTCTTCCATTGTGGCAGGTCCGGTTTCTGCAGGGTTGGAGGTCGAGGCAGTCGGGACGGTGCGCAGGCGCAGGAGGCCGTCGGAGGCAGGTCGCTCGAGATCCATTTCGTCAGGATGTGACCATGTTGGCGGCTCTGTGGGAGTTGTTTTCAACAGCAGTGTGCGGTGGGAATCGCCGGTGGTGCCTTGAGCCGAGAATTGCAGAACGAAGACTCCATCGTCATCGATCGCCTTTCCGATGTAAGTTTCGTTGTGGAAAAGCTCGAAGGTTTTGTCCTTTCGATTGCTGCGAATGTCGATTCCGCACCGCATGAGTTGAGCTGAGGAGAGTAAGTTGTATTGTAGGTCAGGGGCGACGAGAACGTCCCCGATGTGAATGGTGAACTTCGTGTCGTCGGCCTCGAGGTAGATTTCGCCAATCTCATATGCCTTCATTTTTCCGTTGTTGGCGGCGGTGATTTCGCAGGGTCGTCGCATGCGTCGAGAGTTGCTGATGAACTTTGGCGATCCCACCATGTTGTCCGCGGCAACTGTCGAGGTACCACGTGTCCAGATCCTCGTAGCACTGGCGGGCGAGGTTGGCAATCTTGGGTGTGACGATGCGATCAAGGTCGCCGGTGTACGGTGAGAGGGCGAAATATCTGTTTGCGGAAATGCTCGGCGGCGATTCCGGAGTAGGAGGAGGAAGCTCGAAGTCAGGAGGAATGTCTGAGGGGCGAGAGGACCAGGTAAAGACTGTTGGGTCATTGTCTGGACTGGGTGCAACGGGGTTGATGGGATTGTCGCGAGCGAATGTTACTTGATCCCAGTAACGGAACCCTCTGTTGCGGCGAGCCATACAGCTTATGATTGTCCCTTTTCCTTTGTCCTTCGCCGTGATGAGTGCAGGGGATTGTGAAGTGCTGGCTACGGAAGGAGGCGACACAGTGGCGGAAGGTTTTGTCTGCGTCGATGGTTGTTGGTTGGAGGCGTTGCGCCGCTCATCAGCGGCCTGACGCTTGTAGCACTGGTCGATAGAGTGGCCAGACTTCTTGCAGTATTTGCAAAAAGCTCCCTTCTTTCCGCGTTGCTCCCCTTGTGACGCTCCTGTGTAGAAGACTAATTTCTCCCGTTTAACATTCTTCTCGTTGTACAGGTCGATTTCCTTCTGCTTCGAAAGGAGCGTGGTGCACAGAGCTGACTCTGATATGGTTGCTCGGGCGCGAAGGAGTGACTGGCATTGTCGCCAGTCGGGGCCGAGGCCAGAGATGACCATCGAGATGAACATGTCGTCGGGGACAGTCCCACCGCATTTCTTGACTTGGTCACGCAGATTGCGGCACCGGTTGACATACGGTCCCGCTTTCTCCCCTTGCTTCATTTAAACCGAAGTCAGCTGGCTGAGTAGACGGCTCATCGTAACTGGGTCTGTTGCCATGTATGAGTTGCGCAGGTGTTCCCAGGAGGCTTGCACGGGAGCCCACTCCGTCTTGTAAGGGCGAATGCCGAGCTGCTCTTCAGGTGAGAGATTGCGAAGGAGAGCGGTGTATGCGAGGAGGGATTCGTGGTAGTATTGATGCTTCTCCTGGATGGTACCTTCCGAGGGAAAAGGTAGGCTTCCATCGTAGTACATCCAGATTTGAGCGGTTGTCGCGAGAAGCTCGAATTCGAAACTCCACGTGTAGAAATCCTTTCCGTCGAAAGGAATTGAGGTCTTCAATTTTGAAGTCAATACAAATTTGGTTTGCATTGAAGCGATGTCTGACTGTGAGCGTTGTTGGTTGTCTTGTGCAGGAGCTGACCCTTGACGATTGTCAAAGGTGAAGGATCTCTCGGAGTTGATGCGGCAGTCTTCTCCAGGGAGAGGAAGTCCAGTAACGCCACGTGCATAGCTTGAGCCGTCAACGCTCATTGCTTGATGGCTTTCAAGGGCGTTGATGCGTGCGACTAGCTCCTCAACGACAGCGGCGCTGACGGAGGTCACCGCTGATGGTGCGTTAGTCGTTGCTGGTGGTGGGCCCGGTGAGTCTGCAGTAGCTTTTCCTTCAGGAGCCATAGTATTGCAGACTTGAGGTGTAATGAATAACTTTATAAAGGGATTGTTCTGAGAAGAATGAGGACTTGACAGATCCTATAATCCACTCTAGCTCTCATACCATGCTGATATAATCAAAGGATCTAGTGGATAGGATAGGATCTGTTAAGTCTGAGAGGAGACAATGAAGTCTCTGTAGTGACCTTGTTGAATAATAATTGAAAGAGAACAAGATGATTAAAAGATAGGAGTACAAGAGATTAAATAGAAATCTAGCTAGCCATGTACTCTGAGGGGTACATTCCCTTATTAACTGTATTGCATATCTACAGTAACCGCGACTATTGCTATTCTCGACAGTTACCATGTTGCAGTGAATTAACTGTCGCGCGGTTACTGGATCGTCAAGGGTCACGACCGTTGACTTCCTCAGACGGTTGACCTTCGGGTGACCCTCGACATTCCGCATGCTCTATATGAGCTATTGCGGTACTGGTGGAACAGTTTCGGGAATGCTTTATATAACCTTTCGGTTATTCCAACATCAGGCAATGTTCCTACAGCGCCTTGTCAGACGAACCTCTTGCCAGCTTCGCGTGGTTAGATACGTTTCAGTGTGTTCGCCTGCGGTTGCATGCGTTTCAGTGTGGGTGGATGCGAATCTGACAAGAGGTTTGCTTGACTAGAGGCTCAAGGCACATGCTCTCAGTGTACAAGAAGCAGCATACTGTGTCGTACAAATATAAGACCCATCCCCCCCCTCTATAACTCAGATGTACATGATGGTACCGTCATCACCCGGACATAAGACAGTGTTGAATAGTAGACAGGGGTTGTCTACTATACGGGTGTCTCTTATAAACAGGCTAGCCTCATTATAAGACACCTATTTGTGTGTATGAGATAAGACATATATGTCTTATAATCGAAACTTCAATAAATTATAGCGAAAGTTGAAGTACCGCGTACTTTTTTACCCTTGCGAAGCGCGAATTCTTCCACGCGCTGACCCAGGACCTACCAAATTTGCCCCTGCAGGTGTTCTCCATAACGTGGCGTCTCGGGCAGAGGTTATCGAAGTGGCACCTTCGCAACATCCACACGCATTATGAGAAACTCTTTTTAAAGAAGTACGGAAAATATTTCTAAGTAGTTTAAAAAGTTTCCATTTATAAGACTTATAAGACACCCTAAACCATCCCGTTTACAAGATAACTCAAGCATTTTTGCCCGTGTACGAGATAAGACATATATGTCTTATATCCGGGCGATGACGGTATCGCAATTCCAGAATGGCACGGTAGATGTCTGCCAAAAGCCTACCTACCCATAATTTTTGGAATCTGCAGAAATTCTCCCATGCCAGGGGATTACGGTAAGTTTGTTAGAGATGCGCCATGAATAACGCAGCGCAGACCCTCACACATACCCTAAGGGTCTTACCGTACTAGAATACGGTTGTGCTGTCTACCATGTCAGGTGGATGGATCTACTTCAACTGTCAACAGGATCGGTTTGTGTTGGAGTGAAAGCCGGGCGAGCAGGACGGATCCTTCCCAGCTGCCACCTGGCGACACACAGAGCACGACAGGGCATGTGCAACAACACCACAGCTCCCACGAATTAGTGCAAGCAACTGAAACTGGTGTACCGGGGTTGCAGTGGTTCAGTGTATGCGTGCAGTGAACTAGAGGGGGCGAGGGGAAAGATTTGGTGGATAGTGCCGAAACAAAAGCAGTGACATGACAAGGAATCAAATGGCTCAAGTAGGTTGGCTTTCAGGGGATGCAAGCGAGTGGTACCTGCGGGAAGAGGTCGAGAGGAGTGGTGGAGGGAGGTTGAAAGAGGTGCGAGAAGCCAAGGGGGGATGGAGCTGGGGTCATGGGAGCGGCGAGGGGGGAGGGCAGCAGCGATGCAGAGGCGCCTGGCGACAGCAGCAGTCCGCTGGGTGCCGCTGCTTGGTGCAGCGCTGCAGCACCTTGGTGCTGTGCTGCCGGCATGGCTTGAGTCGAGTTTGCTGCTGCTGGTGCTGCGGCAGAGTGGGAGGCTGTAGGGGTGAAGGGCCAGGCGGCAGGGGCATGTGCGGCAACAGTGGAGGGAGGGAGGACGGGGAAGAGCGACGAGGCAAATGAGGGCGACGAGAGAAACATGGAGTGCTGCTGGTGTGCCTGCTGCTGCTGCACGGATGCTGCTGCCTGCTGCTGCGGGATGGCTGCACCACCGCCTGCCACTGGTGTGCCCGCTCCCGCACTGCTCTCAGCACCCAGGGGCGCATAGGCAGCAGGAGGAGCAGGGGCTGCAGCAGTGGGGGTGGCGGCGGGGGTGGGGCCGGCAGCAGCGCCAGCGGAGAGCTGGGTGGAGAGCAGCGAGGCGATGTAGGTGGCGAGGGCGGTCTTGAAGGCGGGGTCGCTGGTGATCTTCTCCGCTGTCTCCGCCACCAGCCGGCTGTGCACCGCTGGTGATGCCAGCGCCGCCTCCATGCCCCCTGCTGGTGCTGCTGCCGCTGCTGCTGCGCCTGCCCCTGCAGGCACTACTGGGGCTGCCCCTGCTGATGCTGATGCTGCTTCCACTTGAGATGCGTTTGCTGCAGCAGCAGGTGTGGCAGCAGAAGGAGCAGCAGAAGCAGCGGTGGCGGGAGCACCGCTACCTCCAGCAGCAGCAGCAGCAGCAGGGCGCTCAGGTGTGAAGTGGCCAACCACGCGGCGCCGGGGAATGTGGATGAGGGGAGGCGCCTCATCCGCTGCTGCTGCCAGCCCACTTGAGGCAGGGTAAGCGGCAGAGGGCAGAGTGGGTGGGAGCGCAAGAGGAGTAGCAGCAGCAGCAGGCAGGGGCGGGGAGAAGGGTGCAGGGGTGGATGCAGGGGGAGTGGCGGCAGAGGCAGGGAGGGGGGTGGGGAGCAGCAGGCCGTGGATGGGCGATGGCGTGGACGCTGCAGACGACGGCGCAGCACCGCATGCGCCCGCGGGGGCGGCAGTGGGCGCTGAGGGAGCAGCAAGAGGGGCAGTGGGGGGACGCGGGGCGGAGGAAGGGGAGGGGGCAGGGGCGCCAGGCCACCACCAGGGGGCGCCGGTGGGGGTGGTGGCGGCGTTACTTGGGGTGGTGGCAGGTGTGGGAGCAGCAGCACCTGTGGGCGTGTGTGCTGCTGCTGTGAATGGCAGTGCTGGTGGGTGCATGGGTTGTGTGGCTGATGCTGCTGCAACTGGTGGTGCAGTCAGCACAGGAGGCTGGGCGGAGGGGGCCGGTGGGGAGGATGGCGGAGCAAGCGGTGGTGCAGACGAGCCACTGAGAGCAGCGCCAGCAGCAGTGCCAGGCACAGGATTGCTCATTCCCCCCCCCATCCCACCCCCTGTGCCCCCCCCTCCTGCACTCACCCCCAGGCCTAGCTGGGCCAGCTGGTGGGGGGGGAAGGTGGAGAGGTCGAGGGTGACGGTGGGCAGGGCAGCCGTGGCCGTCACAAAGGGCGACGAGGGCGTGCCGGCCAGAGTGGGCGTGGCAAGCGGCGACGCCAGCAGAGACGGGTCCGAGGGGAATGCACCCGCTGCAGCAGCAGCGGTGGGCGTGTGGGCAGTGGTGCTGCCTGGCGTTCCGGCCCCACCTGCTGCTCCCATCAGCGACGGTGGTGGAGGGAACGCGTGGTGGGCGGGGAAGGCAGCGGGGGAGGAGGCAGAGGAGGGGGCGAAGAGAGAGGGCGAGGCGAGGGGGGCATGCGCGCCGGCAGAGGACACCACGGAGGCGGAGGAGGTGAGCATGGCCATGGCGGTGGCGTGCGGGGCCAGCGCGTGTGAGTGCGTGCCCTCGTAGGTGACGATGAGGAACGCCATGTCGTCCGCACAGCGCTGCACCTGCTTGCGCACCGGGCATGCCGGGGCCGCCGTGCAGCGGTAGTAGGCGCGCGGACACGGGTTGCCCTTGGACACCTTCTGCCCGTACTTGCGCCACTGCCCCCCGTCCGATAGCTGAGGGGGGGAGTGGGGGGGGAGGGTAGGGGGGAGTTGCGAGGAGGGAGGATGATGCAGGAAAAGTTGAGACAAAAAAGAAAGGATCGAGCACGACAGTAAGGGGATGGGTGGAAAACAGAGGAGAGGAGAGGAATGGAGAGGAGAGGACACGAGGCGAGGGGAGAGAGAAGGAGAGGGGAGGAGAGGAGAGGAGTGGAGAGGAGTGGAGACGAGCAGAGAGGAGAGGAGAAGAGAGGAGAAGAGAGGAGAGGAGAGGAGAGGAGAGGAGAGGAGAGGAGAGGAGAGGAGAAGAGAGGAGAGGAGCGGAGAGGAGAGGAGAGGAGAAGAGAGGAGAGGAGCGGAGAGGAGAGGAGAGGAGAGGAGGGGAGTAGGGGAGAGGAGAGGAGTGGGGGGGAGAGGAGGGGAAAGAGAGGCGGGGAGGAAACGCACGGTGGCGGCGTCGCAGCGAGCGCGGATGGCGACGCGGGCAGCCTTGCGGGCGGCTGCAGTGTCTGGCAGGATGGGCAGATGCGCTGGGATGAAGCGAAGGGCTTGCTGCTGCTGCTGCCATGCCACCTGTTGCTGCTCTTGCTGTTGTTGCTGCTGTTGCTGCAATTGCTGTAGCTGTTGCTGCTGCAATTGCTGTTGCTGTTGCTGCTGCAATTGCTGTTGCTGTTGCTGCTGCAATTGCTGTTGCTGTTGCTGTTGCTGCTGCTGTTGCTGCTGCTGTTGCTGCTGCTGTTGCTGTTGCTGCTGCTGTTGCTGCTGCTGTTGCTGCTGCTGTTGCTGTTGCTGTTGCTGTTGCTGCTGCTGTTGCTGCTGTTGCTCCTCCTCCTCCTGCTGCTGCTGCTGCTGCGGGTGCAATACAATTTGCGGCTGCAGCTGAAGAGCCAGAGCAGGTGGAGGGGCATGAGGCTCATCGGCCTGAGACTCATGCTGGAACACCAGCACCCCTCGTTCAACCACAGCCGACCCTTGTGCTTGCATCCCTTGTGCTTGCATCCCTTGTGCTTGCATCCCTTGTGCTTGCATCCCTTGTGCTTGCATCCCTTGTGCTTGCATCCCCTGTGCTTGCATCCCTTGTGCTTGCATCCCTTGTGCTTGCATCCCTTGTGCTTGCATCCCTTGCTGCTGCTCCTCCCCTGGCCCTGCTTGCGCTTGCAACCGGTTTCCTGCTTCAACTGCAGCTGCTGCTGCCTGCTCGTCCCTTGCCACTCCGCCTGTGCTGCCTGCTGGCCTCGCTGTCTCTGCTCCTCCTGCAACCTGCTGCACCTGCATCACCCCCTCCTGTGGTTCGGCACTTTGCGCATCGCTCACGCGCTCTCCCCCACCTTGCTGTCCCGATCCCAGCTCGTCACCCTGGCATGCCGGCAACGCAGCTGCTGCAGACGCATCAGCAGCAGAAGCAGCAGTGGGAGGAGGAGGAGGGGCATGAGCAGCAGAAGGCGGGAGAGCAGCAGGCGGGGAGGCAGGGTCAGAGGTGCGCTCACGGCTTCCCCTGGACTCACCAGCACCACGGGCCACCACCCCTCGCTGCACACCCTCTGCACCATCTGTGCCTTGCCCCGCCTCGCTCTTCACTTCCTCCTGTGCCCCCTTCATGCCCTCCTCTGCTCCCGCCCTGCCATCATCGCACTTGAGAGGGGGTGGAGCGGCGGCAGTGCAGAGGCGGCTTCTTGGCAGGGCACGGTTTCCAGCACGGTTTCCAGCACCACCACCACCACTGCTGCTGCCGCCCTCTCCGCCCCCCTGCCTGCCTGCCTCGTCTGCTCCCTCCCCTCCCCCCACCATCTCCTGCTCCTTCCACCGCCCCCGCTCTCCCTCCGGCTCTCTGCACCCTTCACTCACCTCCATGGCATCTGCCACTGCCACTCCACCCCCACTCGCCACTCCACCCCCACTCGCCACACCACGCACACACTCCTCGCCTCCTCTACTCGCCTCCCCTCGCCGCCTCTTGCACGCCCTCTCACCCCCCATGCTCTGCTCACTCTCGCCCTCCTCCTCCTCCTCCTCCTCCTCCTCTCCTCTTCCCACCGCCCTCTGCTCAACCATCACTCTTTCCAGCCCAGCCTCCCCCATTTCCAAATTCCCATCCTGCTCGTCCTTCCCACTGCCCCTCGTCCTGCTACCCACGCCCTCACCCTGCTGCTCCCCTGCACCGGCGCTGCCCTCAGCACCAAGCACGCGCGACTCCACAGCACACTCATCCCGATTATCCTCCTCACTTCCTTCTCCCCCCCGCCCACCCCCCCGCCCACCCACTGCAGCACTGCCAACCATCCTGCTCGCCCCCACCCCGCCTGCCGCGCCCCCGCCTTCACTACCCTTGCCCATCCCACTTACCAGCTCCCCTTTCCTCCTCGCGTCCCTCACCTGCCTCTCTCCCCCGCCTCTCTGCTCCGCTTCCCCTTCCCTGTCCCCGTCCTCATCTCCTCCCCGCCGTCGCCGCCGCCGCCGCCGCTGCTGCAGCCCCTCGTCCCCCCTCTCGCTCGTTGAATCGCTGCGGTCCATTCCCACGGATCGGATCGGACGGCCCACGCTGCAGCGCTGCTGGGAGGCGGAGTCGGGGGGGGAGAGCGACCCCCTCTGGCTGGCCGTGTGGGCGGACGGGCGGGGCTGCGCGCGCATGGGCGCAGGGGGGGTGTGGGAGCGCGCTGGCAGCACGGGGGAGGCGGGCCTCCCCACCTTGCTGCCCCTGTCAGGCCCGATGGGTGCGTGGGGGTGGGGCGGGGAGGGCGGAGGCATCATGGGCGCGGCAGGTGGTGTGGCGGAGGAGGAGGGTGGCGCAGTGGGGAAGGAGGGGAAGGGGAAGGGGTTGGGGAGGGCGGGGAAGAGGGCGGACCAGCGAGACATGGCCTGATGGGGGGGAGTGGGAGGGAAGAGGGGAGGGCAGCGGTGTTTGCATTGTGCAAGACGAGGGAGAAAGGAAAGGGGCGACGGGCAGCAGCACATGATGGGGGCGAAAGCGGAGGGAGGGGGTGTGAAAGGCCGTGCTCGGAAACCACAACTCCAACAACACCTCCCCATCACCTCCCCATCACCTCCCCATCACCTCCCCATCACCTCCCCATCACCTCCCCATCACCTCCCCATCACCTCCCCATCACCTCCCCATCACCTCCCCATCACCTCCCCATCACCTCCCCATCACCTCCCCATCACCTCCCCATCACCTCCCCATCACCTCCCCACCACCTCCCCATCACCTCCCCATCACCTCCCCATCACCTCCCCATCACCTCCCCATCACCTCCCCATCACCTCCCCATCACCTCCCCATCACCTCCCCATCACCTCCCCATCACCTCCCCATCACCTCCCCATCACCTCCCCATCACCTCCCCATCACCTCCCCATCACCTCCCCATCACCTCCCCATCACCTCCCCATCACCTCCCCATCACCTCCCCATCACCTCCCCATCACCTCCCCATCACCTCCCCATCACCTCCCCATCACCTCCCCATCACCTCCCCATCACCTCCCCATCACCTCCCCATCACCTCCCCATCACCTCCCCATCACCTCCCCATCACCTCCCCATCACCTCCCCATCACCTCCCCATCACCTCCCCATCACCTCCCCATCACCTCCCCATCACCTCCCCATCACCTCCCCATCACCTCCCCATCACCTCCCCATCACCTCCCCATCACCTCCCCATCACCTCCCCATCACCTCCCCATCACCTCCCCATCACCTCCCCATCACCTCCCCACCACCTCCTCATCACCTCCCCATCACCTCCCCACCACCTCCTCATCACCTCCCCATCACCTCCCCACCACCTCCTCATCACCTCCCCATCACCTCCCCATCACCTCCTCATCACCTCCCCATCACCTCCCCACCACCTCCTCATCACCTCCGCACCACCTCCTCATCACCTCCCCACCACCTCCTCATCACCTCCCCACCACCTCCTCATCACCTCCCCACCACCTCCTCATCACCTCCCCACCACCTCCTTATCACCTCCCCACCACCTCCCCACCACCTCCCCATCACCTCCCCACCACCTCCCCATCACCTCCTCATCACCTCCCCACCACCTCCTCATCACCTCCCCACCACCTCCCCACCACCTCCCCACCACCTCCCCACCACCTCCCCACCACCTCCCCATCACCTCCCCATCACCTCCCCATCACCTCCTCATCACCTCCCCACCACCTCCCCATCACCTCCCCACCACCTCCCCATCACCTCCCCACCACCTCCCCATCACCTCCCCACCACCTCCCCATCACCTCCCCACCACCTCCCCATCACCTCCCCATCACCTCACCTCCCCATCACCTCCCCATCACCTCACCTACCCATCACCTCCCCATCACCTCCCCATCACCTCCCCATCACCTCCCCATCACCTCCCCATCACCTCCCCATCACCTCCTCGTCACCCATCCCTCCCATCCCACCTTTATCTCGCCCGGCGCTCACCTGGGCAGCAGCGGCGTGGTAGGGCAGCAGCGCCAGCATCTGCATCTGCTGTGCGCGCACCCACTCCGCGCCCTCCTCGCCCGCCCCCCCTGCACCTGCGCCCATCATCCGCGCCAGCACGTCTGCACTCAGCCCCCCCGCCCCCGCCGTTGCCATTGCTGCGATTTTATCTGCGCTCGTTCCGCCACCCCCTGCCCTCTCGCCCTCCCCTCCACCCGCGGCCGCCGTTGCACGCCCGCTGTGTTCGCCACCTGCTCCCCCCTTTCCCGCATTCTCTTGTCTCGCAACGGGGGCGTTCTTGTCATGCGCGGAAGGGCCGTTCCCCCCATGCGCGGAGGGGCCGTTCCCCGCATGCGCGGAGGGGGCGTTCCCCCCATGCGCGGAGGGGCCGTTTCCCCCATGCGGGGAGAGCTGCAGCGCCACTATGGCGCGCAGAGACTCGTTCTCGCGGCTGAGGCGCGCTATCATGCCCCGCATGTCCGCCAGCTGGGGGAGGCGATCACCGCCGGGGGGGGGGGGGAGGGAGGGGGAGGGGGAAGGGGAGGGGAAATTTCGCCAGGAGGGGAGGCGAAATGCAGAGAGAAATGGGCAGGAAAGTTGCAGAGGGGTGCGCACCGGGGGTATGCGGCAGCCCACAGGATGCGATTCTGGATCGGAGCAGCCTTCACTTGCGAGCGAGGTAGCAGTGCAGTGCGGTACGGTAAGGTACGGTACGGTGCTGTAAAGTGCAGTACACTGCATTACAGCACAATAGGAAGCAGTGAAGTTCACAGCATGCTTTTGACAAAATCAAAGGCAACTAAAAAAAGACTGCTTGGAGTGTTAGCGGGGCAGATTGGGAGCTACGACGGGGGCTTGGCGACCTGCGACGGCTGCTCGCCTGCGACGGCTGCTCGCCTGCGACGGCTGCTCGCCTGCGACGGCTGCTCGCCTGCGACGGCTGCTCGCCTGCGACGGCTGCTCGCCTGCGACGGCTGCTCGCCTGCGACGGCTGCTCGCCTGCGACGGCTGCTCACCTGCGCGGCTGCTCACCTGCGACGGCTGCTCACCTGCGACGGCTGCCCACCTGCGACGGCTGCTCGCCTGCGACGGCTGCTCACCTGCGACGGCTGCTCACCTGCGACGGCTGCTCACCTGCGACATGACAGCATCGGCGGTAATCCCCTGGCCGCCCGCCGCACCGTCTGCTTCAGCAATGACCGTGGCGTCGCCGCCACGAGGCACTGCCTGACCAGCGCCAGCGCCAGCACTACCGGACTTTCGAGGCGACTCGATTGCTGCCTGAGCATCGCCAGCAGCGGCCTTTCGGGGCGACTCAGAAGCCGCGTGCGCATCGCCAGCTCCAGCAGCAGCAGCCTCCGTCGGCCGCTGGCCGTGACTGTCCGTCCGCACTGCAGCGTCACCTGCTTCCCGCTCTGCCCGCTCTGCTGCCTTCACGGCTTCCCCTGAACCTTGCGTGTCCGCTTTGTCACCCGACACTTGCTTCTCTTCCCGCTCTAACGCCTGCGAATCGAGTGGCGCCTCTTCTGCGGATCCGCTCCCCTCTGACCCGTTTCGTCCCGACCCATTCACATGTGGCGGCTGACGCGGCGATGCATCGCCTTCTACAGCCATCGCAGCGACCCGCACCGTGTATATGGGGATCTTAATATTTCTCCCGAGCGATTTAAATTATCGTGAATCACCCTGTCGTCTGTGTAACGCGGCGCATTGTCGCAGGCATGTGTGAACGAGATCGCCGAAGCGGTACTCACGAAAGAAGCCTTCGAGCGAGCCGATGCGCGGATCAGCGCGGGCACGACCAGGCAAAGAGCGCTTCGCTAAGCGGAGATACGCGTATGGTAAATTGTACTCAAATCACAACGCTTCTCCTCATCTAACCGTTGAGTGGTTTCAGTATTAACAATTAAGACGGCAGCTAGTTAAATGAAACCTGCGAAAAATAGTAATGTAGTACTGGTCTCCACTACTTACGGATCGTACACACTCCGCTAAGATAGCAATAAGGGAGGAAGGGTCGCAGCGCGGCTACAGCATGCTCCAGTGATAACGAGGCAAACCAGAATGTGCAGGACACAGAAGGGCGGAGCGAGGGGAAAGCCTTTTGCAACTGCTTACACCTCGACGACCAAGCAGCAGGTTGTGTGATGCGTTGCCACGAGGACTGCTGTGACCAAACCAAACAGACGGTTGTCGAGGTGCGGTCGGACACACCGAGACTAGCGAGGCGGCTGCGTGGCTCGGCCACGGTGGGACGGGGGTCGTTGGGGGAAGACTCGACGACCAGACCAGAAGAATTCCTTCGCAGGATATGTCTGAACGGACCACTGATGTACGGTGACGACGTCACTGCAACCTTGCCTCGGCTTTGAAAACCTCTCCAAGGTTGATCCACGTAGTGTCGTGACCGAACACCTCGACAGGTCTGACCGAACGCTGACTGCAGAGTGCAGAAAATTGTGCATGTTGGGGCAGCATTGTCGTGGAAAAGCCTCCACTTCCGAAACCCTAGTCAACGACGACCTGGAGAGCCTCGCGGAAAAAAAAGAGCGATCACGAGCGTGTTTTGCATGTTGATCGCCTATGTTTGCTGTTTGACGCGATCTGTGTTTTGCATGTTGATGCGGATCACGCCGCTGTTGCAATGGGAGTTGGAAGCGGCTCTGTAGTTCGCAAAGTCACTTTGCGTAGGTTCAGTACGGTGGTAAATTGATCTTACATTTTCAAGCCTCATGTTGAGATAGTCAACATGCACTGTGCCCTTCAAGACAGTGGCGCCGCTTGTTCGTTTCTCTGTCCGGCTGCTGGTTGATTGGTTCTCCCTCCCTCCATCTGTCCCATCCCTCCTGCCCAACCCAGCCAGGCAAGGTTACTCAACCAGAACGTCAACTCTCCAACGTAACCGTCAGAGACCGACCGTCATCTGTGCAAACTTGCTACACCTCGCAAGTACTTTCATCCAGTAGAGACCTCGTTTCCTGCCTGTCTTTAGCTCATGTAACATGTTCCCAGTTTGACCACCAGAAAATTCCCCTTCATTCACAATATCAGACACAGCTTTCACATGGCTTATCTATGCGTTCCTTAAGATTCTCTTTAATACTATGGAGCACAGCAGCTGTAGGCGAAGAGACCACTGGTGGGAGCTTGAAGAGTTGCAGCGCAGACTGCAAGTAGCAATGCTTAACGATTGGCCTTGGCAACACGCTCAATCTCATCCTTCTTCTTGATGGCGTAGCTGCCAGGCAACAAGGACGAGAGACAGTTTTAAAGGTTTTGAGAGAATGTGTAAGAACTCTGGGAGAGAAGATTAGGAAAGGGGCTCTGAAGAAGCTCCGATAGCTTCCTCAGCTGCTTTAATTAGGTCCAACAACAGGCACATGCAGACATAGTACATGTGTGGTGCTAATGATGCTCACAGCATGGCACCTTTGTAGGAGCAGGTCCAAGCCAAAAAAGGGCACCTTCCTGACTCCACCACTCAGCAAGGCACCAACCATCACAGCGTGGCCACTGGCTCATGTTACTGCGAGCACAGCTGCTCACTGCCACCACTGCCCACCTTGTGCCCACCATGCCCGCTGTCGCGGGTGTGCGGCTCACCTGTTGGAGCTGCCTTAAAGCCCATGGGGAGCGTCAACACACCTGTCAACACACCTTCCCTTCAAGTTCAGGGGGGCGCCTCACCTGTTAGAGCTGCCCTTAAAGCCAGAGCCTCACCTGTTGGAGCTGCCTTTAAAGCCCGACTGCCTCACCTGTTGGAGCTGCCCTTAAAGCCGGAGTGCCACAACGCACCTGTTGGAGCTGCCCTTGGCGGCGTTGATGAGCTCGTCCGCCAGGCACTCCGCGATCGTCTTCACGTTGCGGAACGACGCCTCGCGCGCGCCCGTCGTCAGCAGCGCGATGGCCTACGAGCGGGGGAACGGGGGAAGGATGAGGAGGGAAGGGCGGCACATAAAGGGGCGGGTGGGTGGGGAGTGTGAAGAATGAGGATCACTCGTGACGCACGAGGAAAGAGGTGCCGGAAGGATCACACAAAAAGCGGTGGCAGGGAGCACTGCAGCAGCTCATGCTGCTGCTTGGTGCACGCGACGCGCGTGGTTGCGCAAAAGCGGGCAACCATCGGCGGTGGAGGGCAGAGGATGGGCGAGCTGAGCGCCCATTCGCGCACATGTGGCGGCACGCCATGGCGCGCTGGCCCGTGAGAAACTGCGCATGTTTGCGTGCCTGCATGCATAGTCATAGTTGCACGGCCGCGCGCACGGCCCACGCGTCCCTGGTTGACTCGTCGGTCCGCGCGTACCTGGTTGACTCGTCGCAGCGGCGAGATGTCGACGGCCTGGCGCCGAATGACTCCCGCCGACCCGATCCTCGTCGCGTCCTCGCGCGGCCCGCTGTTGGCGCGAGGGGGAGGGGGGTTATGCGGACAGAGGGTTGGCGTGTGAGTGAGAGGAATGAGCGATGGGAATGCGAGGGAGGGTAGTGCGAGGGAAGGGAGCAAGAGGAAGAGGAGTGAGAGGGAGGGGAGCAAGAGGGAGGGGTGTGAGAGTGAGGGGAGCAAGCGGGAGGGGTGGAAGAGGGAGGGATGTGAGAGAGGGAGGGGTGTGAGATGGAGGTGGGCAAGAGGGAGTATACTTTTTCTGGTTAATATTTTCTTATGCCGGTCACGATGCCTGTGTACTGCCGCCTATATCAATGAAAGGACCGCTTGAGGGAAGAAAGAGGGAGGGGAGTAAGAAGGAAGGGAGCAAGGAGGGGAGTGAGAGGGAGGGGAGTGAAAGGGAAGGGAAGGCGGAAGGTGGGGGTGGTTGTTACCTGTTGACGATGGCGTCGACGATGACTTGGATGGGGTTCTGGTCGGTGAGCAGGTGGATGATCTCCATGGCGTGCTGCACGATGCGCACCGCCATCATCTTCTTGCCGTTGTTGCGCCCGTGCATCATCAGACTGTTCGTCAACCTGCGCAACGGCGGAACGGAAGCGGAAGGAAAGCGGGACGGGAGACGGAGGAAGGGACAAGAGAAGGGGGAAGGGCGAATGGGGGAAAGGATGAAAGGCAAGGAATGGCACTGAGCTTCTTGCCGTTGTTGCGACCGCTCGTCATCAGACTGTTCGTCAGCCTGCTCCGCACAGAACGCAAGCACGCGGGCCGGGCGGCGGAAGGGGGACGGGGACGGGACAGCGGGGCCAGGAAGCGAGAGGGAAGATGGAGGGAGGAGGGAGGGAGGGAGGGCGAAGGCCGAGGGGTTGAGGACGAAGGGCAAGGAAGGACAGAGGGCAAGACGGCGTGTGAGGGACCAAGGGCGCGAGCTCTGCTCTATCGCAAGAGCGCGTGTGCGTGAGCACGAGCCGAGAGGGGGTTGGGAGGGCAGGGTGTGACAAGGGTCTCAGGGCGTCGGGCGGAACGCCACCCAGCCCGGCCCCGGGCTGCGCGGAGCATCCTCATCGACGTGCTCGTCATCCTCATCGACGTGCTCGTCATCCTCATCGATGTGCTCGTGATCCTCATCGATGTGCTCGTGATCCTCATCGATGTGCTCGTCATCCTCATCGATGTGCTCGTGATCCTCATCGATGTGCTCGTCATCCTCATCGATGTGCTCGTCATCCTCATCGATGTGCTCGTCATCCTCATCGATGTGCTCGTCATCCTCATCGACGTGCTCGTCATCCTCATCGATGTGCTTGTCATCCTCGCCCCATCGCGGCCGTCACCACGAACCGCTGCACTCACCGCTCAATGATCGGGCAGTTCGCCTTGCGGAAGCGCTTGGCTGAGTAACGGCCGGCAGTGTGCGGCACGGTGATGGCGTGCTTGACGGCGATGTAGTCGGCAAGCGACAAGTCGTTCACCTGCCGGTTGGGGGGCGTAAAGGGAGACAGAACGAGACAGGAGGGGGGAAGAGTATGGAGAGAAAGGGGACGTTGAAGAACATGGGGAGAGACGAGGCGCGCAGAGAGTATGAGGCAATGCGCGCGGATCACCGCGCAGTGAACAAGTTGAACCCAGATTCGAGCAGGACTAAAGGCGACGCCATAACGACGTAGCGCGGCAACCTAATCAAGTCCGCCACGCGCTCAGATCGCACGATCGGCTCGTCCAACGTGCACGATCTATCGCTGATGCGGCTACCACGTTCTCATGCGCGCCCCGCTCTCGCATCCCGCAGAGTAAGCACGCCGACTGGCGGGAAGCATTAATCAATATCCGATCACGCTGCATGTTGCAACAAGCGGCACTCGCAACACAAACCCTAAAAGCCGATGTCCAAACCAACAGCTCAATTGCACGGGAAAGTCAACACGGCTCGAGGAATGAATGCACGGTACTTGCGGAAGGCCAACTTGGCTGCCAGTCGGTTTCCAGTGCCTGCCCAGTCCAATCACGCGCTGCTCTGCACCCCCACATCCGCGCCACGCCCTAACGAAGCTCCGTCACGACTTATCCCTCGCTTGCAAAATCTGCCCTGTGACTAACCCGCGTTTGCCAAACATGTCTCCCCAAACCTGCCTTTGCAACTAATCCTCGGTGGCAACCCTTGTTTGCCAGACCTGTGCGTGCGACTAACCCTCCTGGCCAAAGCACGAACGGCGGAGCAGAAAGGCAGCATCGAGAGGGCTACGGGGGTTCACGAAATCCGATATAATGCGATCACGGAGAATTGACGAATGCGATTGTCGACTACGAACCACGCGCGCTGCTGACGGTTAACCACGAGAGACGCCCACCGCTGCTGGGTGCGAGAAACGCGACGTCGCCGACGCCGCACGAGAGACGACAATTTGAAGTGGTTTGCCTACCGGCTAGAAGCTAAAGCTACGCGCTCCGGTACCACTGTAAGGACTATCGTGCCCTCACACTGCTGCAATGATGCCGAGCCAGCGATTCGATGAGCGACCATGGTGACAGCGACCTTCGCGGGGCAGCTTATAGCGCGTACCGTGATCTCCTCCGCTGCGAAGGACCACTTGCCGAAGAGCTTGACCTCGTTGGATGCCCCAGCGGGCGCCTCTGCGACCATCACGGCTTCTGTCGCCATGCTTGCGATCCGGCGCGGCGGGACGTGTGCGACACCTGGTAGGCTAAGGGACAGAGGAAGGAAACGATTCCAGGGCACTAGGCGCAGGGCAGGGGGCCAAGGCGAAAAGGAGGGAAGGGAGAAGAGTCTAGGGCATAACAATGCGGGAGCGCGGAGGAGGGATGGTAGGAGGGGCGACGAGGGTAGCAGGTGGGAGGCGAAGAGTAGACGGGTCACGAAAACGCGATGCCCGTGTAACCAGACGAACCAATCGAGGTGGGGTGGTAACTGCTTGTGGCAAAATTTGTGAGTCGAGGTTGGGTGGAAAGCCACCGGGCAAAAGTAAAAACTAATGAACGGAAAATAATTGCTGCCAACATTTTTGTGACAAGTGTAAATTTAGCCTGATGTAGCGCTCAATCTATTTCTGGTTCTTACCGCAATCGAGTACAAATCCGCCCTGACCACTTTCTCAAGAACCCAAGAATGACAATCTAGCGACCAACCATGTAGCAACACCGTGGCACAAAGAAGCCCCTCGCAACTCTCTACGCGCGCCACGTTGACCACCTGTCCAGCCTTCTCGCCCCCAAGCCCCATCCAAACTGGAACAGTGCAATCCCAGTGCCATCGAAATTCGCGTTCCCATCACCGCAGGACGCAGCATAGTAAGCAGTGAAGAAAGTTAGCATTGCAGTAGTTGCCTCGCCATTACTGTCGTTGAAGATTCGCGAGCTCGACTTCGGCTGTCGTTGCGTCTGTGCCTGTGCTCAACGCTCAACCACCAACGCGCATTCCGTGAGCACGCTGATCCACACGTCGACGTCGAATTCATAATGGCCGCCCTCCAGCAAGCCGCGTGCGTTAGCCTACAGACGGCCTTCACGGGTCAACGTCTGAGCGCGGGTGGCGCAACAGCCGCGCGCGTCTCCATCGCGGCTCCCAAACCCGTCGCGCCCGCACGCGCGCTTCTCGGTCAGTGCGCGCAGCGCCGCTTGTAGCGTTGCGCCCTGCTGCGGCTTCAGCTTTCCATTTGCTTTATCTGACTCAGCGGGATTCAATGCGTTGCTGTTCCACGCAAGGCGGCTAACAATTTTCCCGCTTGTTTCCCGTCGTTACCCGTCTCTCCACTTCGTTCCACGTGGTTCGGCTCGCCTGCGTGCAGATGACGGCGGGTCAGTGGGCATTGCTGTTGCGGGCGGCGGTGCGCTCGCGGCACTCGCGACGGTGCTCTCCCTCGCCGACCCGGAGAAGAGGTGATTGCGCGCCCCCTCACTCTGCTCGTCGCAAAGGGCCCAGTTCGGATGTGCCTTAAAGTGCCTGCGCTAGTACTGCTAGAGAATAGAAACTTCTGGATACGCACGCTTTCTGCCCTTCCGTTTCTTAGTCTACTTGCCAAAAAATCGCGTGCGCTTCTCTCGTCGTGACACCAATTGTCCTATCTCCCGCATGCGTGTGCGCGCAGGCGACAGCAGCAAGCGGAGGAAGTGGGCGGCAACGAGATGGATGCGGTAGGGCCGCTCACCGCCCTCACCCGATCTCGCACGCTTTCTTAGCACTTGGCTCATGCTCGGCGTATGTTATCGTGCCACATTTGACGCGAATTGAGCCCTTTCTATTCAGTCCGGCTTCTCTCCGCCTGTCTCGGTCACCGTTCGATGCTTCGTCGGTCCTTCCCACGCGTGCTGTCGATTGACGCGTTATTTCGTGTGGTGCCCGCTGACGCGGCAGGTGCGCAACTACTTCAACACGGCGGGGTACGACAGGTGGCGCCGCATCTACGGCGAGACAGACGACGTCAACTCCGTGCAGGTGAGCCGTGCTGGCGCGACTCGTGCCACGAAGATCAGTGGGGAAGGGTTACAGGCGGAGGAGGGGTGGGAAGAGAGGGAAGGGGAAAAGGGGGATGGGGGAAGGGGGGTGGTGGTGGGGGGAGAAGGAGGGAGAGGAACGGAGGAACGGGGGCATGAAAGGGTGAGTTGAACCTGCATCGTTTGCATTTCTCCTTCGTGATGAACCAGTGCCGTTCATGAATCGAACGGCCTGCCAGGCCACGGTAGATAGCGACCCCACCTACGCACCTGCATCGCCTGTCGGGGTGCGCGCTGCCTCTCGTGCTCTTCTCACCGCATGACGTGCCTTCCACGTGCCCTCGCCCCCTCTACCTGCAGCTGGACATCCGTCAAGGCCACGCGCAGACCGTCGAAAAGGTGAGCACTGATCAGGCTTCTAGTCAGCCGCCTTATAATCTGACCTTCACGCCGTACCTGCTGAGCAACGTTGGAGTGCGAACTTCCTTGCGTAGCATGAGTGGATTCACCTGTACATGACCACATATTGGAATTCACCATACGAAACACTCAGTGCACACTGTACTGTGCTGGACACTGCGCGTGACGGCAGGTGCTGAGGTGGTTGAGGGAGGAGGGCTCGCTGGACGGCGTCACGGTGTGCGATGCTGGATGCGGCACCGGCAGGCAAGCACCCGCTCCTCCTTCTCCCCGGCCCCCACCCACCACTTACCCTTGCTCGTCCTTTACCCTCGTTCGCCCCTTACCCGCGCTCGCCCTTGAAGCTTGGTTCATGCGGGTGCTAGAGACTGTCCGGAATGTCTGCTGCTGCTGCTGCTGGTGCATGTGGTGCCGCTTTCAGAAGCCCACTGAAGCGGATGCGTGTGGTGCACACATGCGCCGCTGCCCCACATCAACGTACCCGTGCATCCCCTAGCCTCGCCCCCATCCCGTCTCTCCCCCCACTCAATCTCCGCCCACTCCATCTCCCCCCACTCAATCTCCCCCCACTCAATCTCCCCCCACTCCATCTCCCCCCACTCCATCTCCCCCCACTCCATCTCCCCCCACTCCATCTCCCCCCACTCCATCTCCCCCCACTCCATCTCCCCCCACTCCATCTCCCCCCACTCCATCTCCCCCCACTCCATCTCCCCCCACTCCATCTCCCCCCACTCCATCCCCCCCCACTCCATCTCCCCCCCACTCCATCTCCCCCCACTCCATCTCCCCCCACTCCATCTCCCCCCACTCCATCTCCCCCCACTCCATCTCCCCCCACTCCATCTCCCCCCACTCCATCTCCCCCCACTCCATCTCCCCCCACTCCATCTCCTCCCACTCCATCTCCCCCCACTCCATCTCCCCCCACTCCATCTTCCCCCCACTCCATCTCCCCCCACTCCATCTCCCCCCACTCCATCTCCCCCCACTCCATCTCCCCCCACTCCATCTCCCCCCACTCCATCTCCTCCCACTCCATCTCCCCCCACTCCATCTCCCCCCACTCCATCTCCCCCCACTCCATCCCCCCCCACTCCCATCTCCCCCCCTTACAGCCTGTCCATCCCTCTGGCGCTGGAGGGAGCCACAGTGTACGCCAGTGATATCTCTGCCGCCATGGTACGCAACCCATTCCCTTGCGCCGCCATGGTACGCAACCCATTCCCTTGCGCCGCCATGGTACGCAACCCATTCCCTTGCGCTGCCATGGTACGCAACCCATTCCCTTGCGCCGCCATGGTACGCAACCCATTCCCTTGCGCCGCCATGGTACGCAACCCATTCCCTTGCGCCGCCATGGTACGCAACCCATTCCCTTGTGCTGCCATGGTACGCAACCCATTCCCTTGCGCCGCCATGGTACGCAACCCATTCCCTTGCGCCGCCATGGTACGCAACCCATTCCCTTGCGCCGCCATGGTACGCAACCCATTCCCTTGCACCGCCATGGTACGCAACCCATTCCCTTGCGCCGCCATGGTACGCAACCCATTCCCTTGCGCCGCCATGGTACGCAACCCATTCCCTTGCGCCGCCATGGTACGCAACCCATTCCCTTGCACCGCCATGGTACGCAACCCATTCCCTTGCGCCGCCATGGTTGGCATTCCCTGGTGCCGCCACCATAGGAACCGTCCACGTCCACTCCCAAGTGTTGCCATGCCATGCATTCCCATCTGCCATGTCTGCTGCCACGCGATGCCATTCCCATTCGGGCTACAGCCCATGCACAGGCATCATCTGCCTCTCACCTGCATGCTGTGCCACCTACCCACCTAATCTGATGTCACCTGGCTCAAACCTGGACTAACAAGGCTCTCACATCCACTCCCCTCACCTCGTCCCTCTTCTCTCCGCCACTTCTTGCCTCTCTTCCCTTCTCGCTCCTCTGAGCGCTCTGCGAACCAGGCAGGCTCCACTGTTTCTCACAACCCTATTCACCCTTCTTCCCATGTCTGTCCCCCCCGGCGTGCCCTGTCTCGCCTTGCCCTGCTCTGCCTCGCCTTGCATCACATTGGCGTGTGTTTTTGCGCGGCGGCGGGGGTGCAGGCGGGAGAGGGCGCGGAGAGGGCCAAGGTGGCGCTGGCAGAAGCGAAGACGTCGAAGCAGCTGGTGATGCCGGTGTTCGAGGCCAAGGACCTGGAGTCCATTGACGGGCAATACCACACTGGTGAGCACACGAGAGAGGGAGCACCACTGGCGAGGCATTAGAGGAAACGTCACACTGGAAAGAAAATCGAGGACGCACCACTGGTAAGAGAATGGAGGAGATGGCACCTTTCAAGGAAACTAAAGAGCACACTGGTACGACAATGCAGGAATGACCACGTTGGTTAGAAATGGGGGGAGAGGGTGACGCCACAAGGCAGCAGTGCAGCAGCAGGGCCGTGTAGTGCAGCAGTGTAGGCGGAAGGGGATGCCCATGTGGCATGCCACGGGATACACGACACTGGGCAATCAACCCCGCGGGCAGGGCTGCATGCAGACCTGAGGGAAGGGTCACAGGGGACCGGAGGTGCTCTCTGGCTCCTCATGCTCATCTCACTCCCCTCTCCAATCCCTTCTGCCCTCTCGCCTCTTCCCTTCCCCCCTATCCTGCATCTCTCACCGTTCCCCGCTGGACCTCCCCTCGCGCACCCTGGTGGTGCATGCCTCAAAGTCAGTCACATGTCTGAAATTCTCGCTCTCCACATCTCCCCTGCCCATCCCCTCCTGCAGAGACGTCTCTGAACGTGCTATTATGCTGCCTATAAAGTATTTTCTCAAAATTGTCCCTCTCCCCCGTTCTGCCCCATCCTTCTCCCTCCTTTCCCCTCTCCCCCCCCCGCCCGCGTGGCAGTGACGTGTCTGGACGTGCTGATCCACTACCCACAGGACAAGTCAGACGCCATGATCGCGCACCTCGCCTCGCTGGCCACGGACAGAGTCATCCTCAGCTTCGCCCCCTACACGCCCTACTACGCCTTCCTCAAGGTGCCCACAGCCCTACCATCTGCTTGCACTCGCTGCTCCTCTCGTCTCATGCTCGCTTGCCGCATGGATTTACACTCGCGCTGCTGCAGCCCGTGTCATCCCCTTTGTGTGTGCTGTGCTCCACTTCTGTCCCTCCACTCTCCATCCACCATCAAGTCATGTCCACACCACACCACAACACACCACACCACAACACAACACACCACACCACACCACAACACAACACACCACACCACACCCCACTCCGCCACACCACACCACACCACACACCCCATTGTCTTCCCCCTCACACCTCTCCGTCCTGCCCCCCATGCCCATCGCCGTGTCCCACTGTGCAGCGCGTGGGCGAGCTGTTCCCCGGCCCGTCCAAGGCCACCCGCGCCTACCTGCACTCAGAGGAGGAGGTGGAGGGCGCTCTCAAGGTCTGTTCCCTCACCCACTCGCTCACTCACTCACCCAGTCATTCACTCGCTCATTCACTCACTCTGTCATTCACTCACTCACTCATTCACTCACTTATTCCCGCACTCACTCATTCACTCACTCATTCACTCACTCACTCATTCACTCACTCAATCACTCACTCACTCATTCACTCACTCAATCATTCACTCACTCACTCACTCATTCACGCACTCACTCATTCACGCACTCACTCATTCAGTCACTCATTCACTCAGTCACTCATTCACTAACTCATTCACTCACTCGTTCATTCACTCATTCATTCACTCACTCATTCACTCACTCGCTCATTCATTCGCTCATTCATTCACTCGCTCATTCACTCACTCATTCACTCACTCGTTCATTCGCTCATTCATTCACTCACTCATTCACTCACTCACTCACTCCAGCACCACGCTCCACTGCCATGCTCCAGTACCATGCCCTATTACTTTCCTCAAGCAAGCATGGCCATCCAGGTGCCACACGCCTATGCTCGTTCTCCTCCAACTGCCGCCTCCACCGCCATCATCCCACTGGAGATGCAACGCTGCACCACAGCTCTTGTGCTCTCCTCCTCATCGCTACCCTGCCTGCTAATGCTGGACCTGCCACTTCCTCCCACCTGTGTGTTGCTATGTGCTGATTTGCTTCCTTCCCACCTGTCGTGTGTTGGACTGGCAGAAAGCGGGCTGGAGGGTGGTGAAGAAGGAAATGACCGGCACCAAGTTTTACTTCTCACGCCTCTTCGAGGCCGTGCCTCTCTAGGGCCCCACTCACTCCACACTGTAGCTGTACCATTGTTAACTAAGGTTGATTCTCTCGTGTATGATGGGGCTTGCAAGCAATGCAACGCAACCTTGTTTTTTTCCTCTTGCACACCTCTAGGGATCAGTAGTTTGCCCCTGCCCAGGGTAAAAAGGTTAGCACGTTCAGACAGATTACCTGTTCAATACTGTAAACAAAATATGTTACCTTGGTGTGCATCATAGACCATTATGGCTTGGGTCATAGACCATTATGATTTGACTTTTCTTCCGTAACACTCGCGTGTAGCGAGTTGTGATCTGATTTCGCAGACACGAAAGCACAAAATTTCGCTTACACCAATTTCCGTTTCGCGAGTTGGGTTGGGAGCTTTCGCGACGCCTTGCGAGGGTAGCAAACTCTGGTGACCAAACCCACACCGAGCTGCGTCAGCGGCCACATGCTGGAGCTGACTGACAAGGTGTTGTCAGGGCGGGTGACCCGCACTCGCTGTCAAAATCAATGGCTGCTTTGAGATACCGTACGTCACTGTTGCCGCTTCAGATTGCGTACGGAACGAAGTCACCCGTGTCGTGCTCGTACAAGGCAGTCGTCTGGCTTCCCAAATCAATGCTGTCGAAAGTGGGCTGGTCCCCATCCGCCAGGACCAATGCCCCAAAATGGCATCATAGTGTGGGGAACCTTCCATGGCGTCCAACTCGGGAACCTACTACTGCCATTCCGTCTTACTGAGTCAGCCAGATTCACCTAGCCGCGTCACCACTGGTGCCCTCCATCATGGGCGGTTCCGGCTTGGCGTTGGGCAGGGGCGAAGGGGCCCAAGGGGCAGCCCTCCGCTTTCGCGCTAGGGGCGGGCGAGTGGGCCTCGCGTTCTTGTGACGGTAGCGAGGGCATCGGGCGGGCCCTCTCGCGCCAATGCGCCCCTGCTATCGCGGGCGAGAAGGAATCCCTCGTCGACCCGTTCAGTGTTGAAAGCCGTGGTCACGCAGGCTGCTGCTTGACAAGTGACTGTCGAAGCCCCAATTCGCACAACACAGCCGTAAGTTGGAACCAACCGATAAACATCGCACTCGTATCATGGAGCCAACGGTAGGATTCTCGAATCGCGAACAAAAACGTGTCACCTGCAGGCAATGCAAAGAACCTGCCACGTGGACCCCGGACATCTTGGGATGGGCGGGTCATGGTGAGGTGGAGTTTCTGGAGAAGATGAGGCGACGCCTGGACAGGTGCCACTCTCGGGCCAGTTGCATGCATATCTATACATTCACTTCCAGACGCCTCAGAATGAATGCTGTGCTCACTGAGCTGGACGGCGAGGAGTTCACAGAGAAGACGAGGTGACGACTGCCCTTACCGCTTCTGCCCGTGGCCCGTCTCCCACCCCAAGCCTTCTCCCTCCCCCTTCCCCCCCACCTGCCGTTCTTCCCCAGCGTAAAAGTGTCTTGGCGCAAGTGGAGGTGCGGTTGACAGCGTGAGGGGGGCAAGAGGTCTGCGCATCTACCCCTTCCGTTCTCCCCATCTCCCACCCCAACCTCCCTCCCTTCCTCCTCCGCCTCCCGTCCCGTTATTTCCCAACGAGGGAGTGTCATTCCTCCGAGCAGAGGTGTGCTTTGAGGGGTCACCCGTGGACTGCATCCACCCCGGGCGAACCTGTTGCGGAATGCAAAGGCGCAATTGGGAGAGAAAGGCTTGCCCATTCGCCGTTTCTGTTCCCCCCATCTCCCACCCTAACCCTCACAGCGTGGGAGTGGCGTTCCCCGCAGTGGAGGTGCGCTTTGAGGGGGTGAGCGCGTGCGCCAAGGTGCGAGTGGGCGCGAGGGGCGTGCCCACGCTGCCCAACCAGCTGCCCAACCAGCTGCCCAACCACGCAGGCGCGCTGCTGAGGGGTCTGCGCCTACTCAACGACCAGCGCCGCCTCTTCTTCGCGCTTGATGCCTGCTCTGGCATCCTCAAGCCTGCCAGGTACGGGCATTCCATTCCCAGCCTGGCAGGTACGGGCATTCCATTCCCAGCCTGGCAGGTACGGGCGTTCCATTCCCAGCGTGGCTGATGCTGGACGGAGCCCTGGCTGGTGAAGGATCGGCGCTGCCTGTTGACTGACGCTGCCCCCTCATTCACAGGAAGACGCTGCCTCCAGATTGAATGGTGCTGTCTGTTGCTCAGCTGGAAAGCATCACCCCACCACCTGAACCCCCTCATTCACAGGACGACGCTGCTGCTGGGTTCGCCAGGGAGCGGCAAGTCAACGCTGCTCACGATCCCCTTTGAGGCGGCCCATGTGGATCCGCATCTGATTATCACCTCATCACCCTGTACCATCTGCTCCTCGCCTCACCCCACAGGATGACGCTGCTGCTGGGGCCGCCAGGCAGCGGCAAGTCAACGCTGCTGAGGACCCTGGCAGGGAGGGCGGAGAGGGAGCTGGGCGTGCAGGGCGAGGTGACGTACAACGGCCGCCCGGGCAGCCACTTTGTGCTGCCGCGCTCCGTGGCGTTTGTGCCTCAGACGGACTCCCACATCGGCGAGATGACTGTGAGGGAGACACTCGAGTTCTCCGCTCGTCTGCAGGGGCCCGGCTACATGGCAGGTGAGGTTTGAGGTGTCTTCAAACAAACAGGGGGCGGCCACACATTTGAATGACTCTTGAAGAGATGCGTGCCTTCTCCCTTTCGCCTGCAAAACAATCAGTCACAGGGAAGGCATGTAGTGCTCTTTGCTTCTGTTCCCAAGTCCTCCTGGGTTCGGAGAGGTTTGAGACGTGGCAACAGCCGCATGGCCACGGGCAGGTGGTCCGAGCTCAGTCCCGTGGTGCATCCCTTCCGCCATGGCAGCTACTGTTCATTCCTTCACTCCAACTCCGAATTATTTTCCAACAGTTTGCTTTTGGGCACTTGAAAATAGCACACGTGCCTCTCTTCCTCCCTCCCTCCCTCCCTCCCTCCCTCCCTCCCTCCCTCCCTCCCTCCCTCCCTCCCTCCCTCCCTCCCTCCCTCCCTCCCTCCCTCCCTCCCTCCCTCCCTCTCTCCCTCCCTCCCTCCCTCCCTCCCTCCCTCCCTCCCTCCCTCCCTCCCTCCCTCCCTCCCTCCCTCCCTCCCTCCCTCCCTCCCTCCCTCCCTCCCTCCCTCCCTCCCTCCCTCCCTCCCTCCCTCCCTTCTTCGCCGTCCTTTCTCCCCTCCCTCCTTCCCTCCTTCCCCTCTTCCCTCCTCCATCCCATTCTCCCGCCTCATTCGGCGCCCTCATCATTCGGCGCCCTCGTCATTCGGCGCCCTCGTCATTCGGCACCCCACCCACGCAGACCTATGTCGGCAGCTGGAGGAGAAGGAGCGGGAGATGGGAATCAAGCCCGACCATGTCATGCAAACCGTTGTCAAGGTAATGGTGATGTCATGGGCGTGATGACGTCATGGGAGCCCCTTTGTAGATGGTGATGACGTCATGGGGGGATGATTTCATGTGGAGGGATGAGATCATGGGGGTATTTATGTAACAAAAGACCAAGGTGATGATGTCATGGGGGTGATGATGTCATGCCGGATGTTCCCATCAAGGTGATGACGTTCACTGCTGTTACTTCTATGGTGGAACATTTTTATTGCCCATTTTATGGTGACGAACATGTGTGCATACTGTTCTTGAGTATGAGAAGATGTTTCAATCTGCCCAGGTTGACTTTCGAGCCGACTCAAGCACTTCCATTTCTGCTGCCTCCTGCTCGTATGTCGGGAGTTGGTTTTGATACTACCAAATTGACACCCCTTATGATTCAAACATGCAATGTTTTGTTTCTCATTATACATATCGTGTTGCCTCCCTTGCGCCCTTATAAGCAAGTATACACATGCATAAGTGGACTGAATTTGACAACTCAACCCCTCCTCTCCGGAAACCCTTCGGCCCGTCCCCGTTCCTTTGTGGCATTTCTGCGTGTGTCCCGCCGTCCACTCCTGCAGGCGATGGGCGATGAGGGGCGGTGGGCAGATGTGGTGGTGCCGTACGTCCTCAAGGTGTGCGCGGTTCTGCGTAAATGTGCTCGTGGGAGGGGAGGGGGGTGTCAGCCGCGCGCACGTGCGTGTGTGTGTGTGTGTGTGTGTGTGTGTGTGTGTGTGTGTGTGTGTGTGTGTGTGTGTGTGTTCGTCATTCTTTTTTCTTTGCTCCGCTCGTTTATCCGTACCACACTTGTTTCTTCTTTTCAGTCGGCTAATCAACCTGCCTTTTCTCTCTGCCCACAGTCGTCCCTGCTGAGCACGCTGCCGCTCGCTTCTCCCATCACTCACCCCTTGCAACTCAGATCTGCACTCCATCACTCTACCCCCACCCTGACGCCGGGCTTGCACATGTGTGCTGATACCGTGATAAGCGTCACTGTGCAAAGAGCTGTACCAAGAGGACAGAAAGCGAATCACACTTCAGCCACCTCCTCCGATCCCCCTTGCACCCAATGCCACCTGATCGGCAGATGCTCGGGCTGGACGTGTGTGCTGATACCATGGTAGGGGACAGCATGCGGAGAGGGATCTCAGGAGGCGAGAAGAAGCGATTGACCATCGCCGAAGCACTGCTGGGTGCAAAGCAGCTCCTCCTATTGGACGAGATTCCCAACGGCCTCGATTCCGCCACTGCCCACCGGATCATACGGTCCCTGCGCAGCCTCACGCACTTAACTAATACCACCACCCTCATCTCCCTGCTGCAACCGGCACCGGAAACCTTTGAGCTGTTTGATGACGTCATGCTGATGTCAGAGGGGCGGATTGTGTACCATGGGCCCAGGGAAGAGGTGTTGGGATTCTTCCAGGAAATGGGGTTTGTGCCGCCCGCCCGCAAAGGAGTGGCTGACTTCCTGCAAGAGGTGTGTTTCCTTTTCCCAGTGGTGCCTCTTCAGTTGTTCCTGAATAGTCTCAAAGGTACCTGAGATAAGAAGTGTGTTTTCCTTATGCTGCCTATGACTTGGTCCTGAGAATTCTCAAATTCAACTGTGAGATACTTTGTTCGTCTCCAATCCCCCCTATAGGTCACCTCGCTAAAAGACCAGGATCAGTACTGGCACCCATCCCAGCCCCACCCGTACCGCTACGTGTCTGTCCAAGCCTTCCAGGAGGCCTTCCGAGCCTCCAGGTTCGGCAAGCAGATGAAAGCAGAGCTCTCCATTCCATTCAAGAAGGATCGGATCACAGTCAAGGGAGAGGATGAGGCAAAAGAGTTGAAAGACATGGAGGAGGGTCAGGGGAAAGACGTTGACACTGGGGGAGAGGAAGGGAACAGAGGCAAAGAGGAGGAAGGTGCGTCACGTGCACTGGCACAGCGGCGGTTTGTGCTTCCTCCTCTTGCGGCGCTCACCGTCCTGGCGGGCCGTGAGTGGCTGCTGATGAGGCAGAACCTGCTGCTCTACATCGTGCAGACCGTGCAGGTACAGCACATGCTCGTTACAGTCACAGTAACTGGTGGAAATATGTACCTCTGTGCATTGCACACCATATCCAGGTAGTGCAGATGTTCGTTCCCAATACTAGTTGCAAATGCTCGTTACAGTCAGTGTGACTGGCGGAATCTGCTCATCTTCAGTTTGCACACCATGCAGGTACCAAGATGTTACACGTAGGTACCAGCTAAGTTGGGATAAATGCGCTCCGCGTTTTTTACGCTTGCGTATCTTCCAACTTAGGGTACCAGGATGTTGACATGCTGGTAGCAAGATGTCACGTGCTGCTAGCAACTTGCTAGATGTTCTGTACAGTAAGATGTGACTGCATCCACTTGCAACCATAGTGGTAGCGCTTGTCACCTACTTGTCTTTTGTCACGTCTCCTCCTTTCTTATCCCCTTCCCTTTCCAGATCCTCCCCCTCGCTATAGTCACAATGACAGTCTTCTGGCGCTCGCAGTTCACCATCACGCCTCTCGACGGCAACTACTATCTCGGAGCGATGTTCTTCGGCATAATCACGATGCTGTTCGGCGGCTTCATCGAGATCACGCTGCTCACGGCGCGCCTGCCCATCTTCTTCCTCCAACGGGACAACCTGCTCTTCCCCGCGTGGGCGTGGGCGGTGCCCATGGCGCTGCTCTCTCTGCCCGTCTCCCTCTGGTCCGCTGGGGTGTGGACCGCCATCACCTACTATGGCATCGGCTTCGCTCCCGAATTCTCCCGGTGAGTTTCACCCGGGTAGGTTCAGCGAGGTACGGTGCGGTCCTCCCGGTAGGAGGCTGCTCATATCTTTTGGTGTTTTTTGCAGCCTCTGCGTTCGTCCCATCTGTACAAAGAGAGGCATGAGAGCTTTCTTGCAGCTCTTGAATCGAGGGCTGCTGTTTCTCTCCAAGATGTGAGTGAGAGTGACAGGGAGGGGTGGCTGACTCACATCCTCTCCTGCCGTTTCTCCCTGTCACCCTCACTCACATCCTCCCCTGCTTCTCTCTCCCTTCCCTCCCTCTCACCCTCACTCACATCCTCCCCTGCCTCTCTCTCCCTTCTCGCAGCTTCATCACCCAGCTAATGCTATTCTTCCTCACCCACGCGGCCACGTCAGTGCTGTACCGAGCCATGGGAGTCATCGTCCGCAGCACCGTGCTCGTCAACACACTCAACAACGTCATCCTCGCGCTCCTCTTCCTGCTCTCCGGCTTCATCATCACCCAACGTACGTGCTCTGCTTGTGAGCGCTCTTGGGGTAGGGTAGGTACCTGTATGCATTCACGTACCCTCTTCATAACGGACCCACTTGAACCCTTTTTCATGTCAGAGCTGGGTTCACGTTGCCAGGTTCAGCCTTGTGCTCTTCGTTCTGCGATGTGGGTTCATCATGACCAAAAGTGTGTGCTCGAGATGTCTGATATGCACGAGCAAGGCAGGCACAGAACTTATTTTCACAATAGAAACACACGCATAGGTCTCATTTACAAAGTACAAACGCATGGAAATAAGTCCAAATACGTAGTACACGGTACACCCACACGTGCCTCATGAATCAAGATCAACGGGGCAAACATGCGAATCTTCCCATCCCGTGTAAATCCTTGCATGCTACTCACTCATACTCACACATCCCGAGTGTATCCCTTGCCGCATGCCTTTTCTATCTAGCCCCTCACTACATACCCATCTCATTGTAAATCTCTCACATGACACGTGCTCTCACATGCCCAACAATTATGCCCTCACGCGCACTCCCATTCACACATTCACTTCACCCACTCCATTCCCTCCACATTTAGCCGGCATCTGCAGCGTATGGCTGTATTGGATCTCGCCTCACCTGCTGCCCTGCCCACTCATCCCATCCTCATCCAACTCTCATGCGCACACCCTCGTTCACCTGTTCCATGCCCGTCGCCCCTGTAGCGGACATCCATGGCGCGTGGGTGTGGGTGTACTGGCTGTCACCCCTCACTTACATGCTCAACGCTTTCTCCACCTATGAGTTCTCGCCCCCAGATGGGATGTGGTGGTATGTGCTGCTGTGCCATGGCATTGTATGGTACTGTACGGTACGATGTATACGGTACAGTACTGTAGGGTATGGTATGATACGGTACGTGCGTTAGCAGTACTGCACAGCATGGTATGTTATGGTACAGTATGGTTGGTTGCGCATAGCATATGCGATACAGCACAATGCTTGCACATAGTGTACCTAGTTTACTGTATCCCCATGAGGCATGTAATCTGCCATGCCATGTTGTGCGGCATGGCATGCAATGTGGTGGGTATCAGGTGTGGCGTGTCATGCTGTGTCATAGCACGTGCGTACCATGCCATGTGTGCTACTTGCATACATATGTTTTTCTGGATAGCAAGCACATCCGTCTCCCTCATTCCATTCGCTTCACTTTGCACCCGTTTTATCAGCTCCAATCTGCTTCTCCCTCCTCCTCCCCCCCCTTTTCCTTCCTCCTCTCCTCTTGTCTCCCCCCCACGCCCCCCTTCTTCCGTACTCCCTCACATCCCTTCTTCCGTACTCCCTCACATCCCTTCTTCCGTACTCCCTCACATCCCTTCTTCCGTACTCCCTCACATCCCTTCTTCCGTACTCCCTCACATCCCTTCTTCCGTACTCCCTCACATCCCTTCTTCCGTACTCCCTCACATCCCTTCTTCCGTACTCCCTCACATCCCTTCTTCCCAATTCTTCCCTCCCGTCCTCCTGCCAGCCCTCTGTGCCGCCATCACTGAGCGTGACAATGGGAGTGCAGGTTCTCGAGGCGCGCAGCCTCTGGACCCACTCTCCTCTCTTCCTGTTGCCTCCCCTCTCTTCCTGTTGCCTCCCCTCTCTTCCTGTTGCCTCCCCTCTCTTCCTGTTGCCTCCCCTCTCTTCCTGTTGCCTCCCCTCTCTTCCTGTTGCCTCCCCTCTCTTCCTGTTGCCTCCCCTCTCTTCCTTGTTGCCTCCCCTCCCTTCAATATGCATCCCCTCCCTTCCTTTTGCATCCCCTCCCTTCCTTTTGCATCCCCTCCCTTCATTTTGCATCCCCTCCCTTCCTTTTGCATCCCCTCCCTTCCTTTTGCATCCCCTCCCTTCCTTTTGCATCCCCTCCCTTCCTTTTGCATCCCCTCCCTTCCTTTTGCATCCCCTCCCTTCCTTTTGCATCCCCTCCCTTCCTTTTGCATCCCCTCCCTTCCTTTTGCATCCCCTCCCTTCCTTTTGCATCCCCTCCCTTCCTTTTGCATCCCCTCCCTTCCTTTTGCATCCCCTCCCTTCCTTTTGCATCCCCTCCCTTCCTTTTGCATCCCCTCCCTTCCTTTTGCATCCCCTCCCTTCCTTTTGCATCCCCTCCCTTCCTTTTGCATCCCCTCCCTTCCTTTTGCATCCCCTCCCTTCCTTTTGCATCCCCTCCCTTCCTTTTGCATCCCCTCCCTTCCTTTTGCATCCCCTCCCTTCCTTTTGCCTCCCCTCCCTTCCTCTTGCCTCCCCTCCCTTCCTCTTGCCTCCCCTCCCTTCCTCTTGCCACCCCTCCATTCCTCATGCCCTCTCCTCTTCCCTCGCCCTCATCCTCCGCATCCGCTCACCCGCCCTACCCACCTCCCTGCCAGCAGCCTTGCCCAAGGAGCAGCCACAGATCTCCCCAACACACCCCACTCCTTTCCTCTGCCTTCGCCTCGCCATATCCAACCCCACCGCTTCCTCCTTGCTTCCTTCCTCTTCCACCTTGGATCAAGGCGCAGCCAGTGATCTCCTAGTGTCAATCAGATGTCGCGACTCACTCCTCTCTTGCTCTCTCCCTTCTCCCTCTGACTCACTCCTCTCTTGCTCTCTCCCTTCTCTCCCCAATCGAACCCCTTCTCCCCGCCCTGCCCATCCCCTCGCACACCCAATCCCCCCCAGCTTGGCCCAAGGCGCAGCCAGTGATTTCCCAGCATCAGCTAGACGCGCGGGAAGCTGCTCTAACGGGCTCCAATCTGCCCGGAAACGACCGCCTTGAAAGAGAAAACTGCAGAAACAAGCTGTTCTCTTGCGCATACAGAACAGCAGCAGCAGGAGAATCCACAGCAGCAGGAACAACCATAACAGCAGCAGCAGCAGCAGGGAAATCCTCAGCAGCAGTAGCACCAACAACAGCAGCAGGAGGAGGTGCATTCGCAGCATGAGAGAGAATCAGTGTTGCCGTGCATGCAGATGCCCATGACCCTGATCCGCACCACAAAGAGCACTGTGCTTCTGATTCTCATGCCCGTGATGTCCCCGGTGCCCTCTCTGGTGTGGGCGGGGTGAAGCAACATGGCATGGTTCTCCCTTTCACCCCGCTCACCCTCTCATTCCACAACGTCAACTACTCCGTTGACATGCCCGCCGAGCTAAAAGACAAGGCGGGGCCGCCCGACCAGCGGCTGCAGCTGCTGCATAATGTGTCTGGCGTGTTTCGTCCCGGAGTGCTGACCGCCCTGATGGGGGTGTCTGGGGCGGGGAAGACAACGCTAATGGATGTGCTGGCAGGGAGGAAGACCGGAGGGTACATTGAAGGGGATATCCGCGTGTCTGGGTACCCGAAAGTGCAGGAGACGTTTCTGAGGGTGTCGGGGTATTGTGAGCAGGTGGATATTCACACGCCCCAGGTGACTGTGCACGAGTCTCTCCTCTACTCCGCCTGGCTGCGCCTGCCCCAGGAGATCGATAGAGATGTGATCCTGGTGAGTGGATGGTAGTGGTCATGGCGAGTGGACGGGTGTGGTCATGGTCAATACTGGTGAATGGATGGATGTGATACGGTGAATCGAGAAAAGCGATTACGGTGAAGGGGGGGGATGTGTTTTTGGTGAATGGAGAGATGTAATCATGACGAATTGATAATGATCAATGGAGAGATGTGATAACGATAGAGAAGCCATAATGGTGTCGGGGCTAGTGACGGGGCTAGTGACGGGGCTGGTGACGGGGCTGGTGGAATAAGAGCTGGTGAAGGGCGCTGTGGTGTGTGGGAGCGTCTTGCCTCATCCCTGCCGATCTGCACTGGCAGGAGTTCGTTCGTGGAGGAGCTGGTGGAGCTGGAGGCGGTGAAGGGCGCGCTGGTGGGGACGGCAGGGCGGGACGGGCTGGCGGTGGAGCAGAGGAAGCGGCTGACCATGGCAGTGGAGCTCGTCGCCAACCCCGCCATCATCTTTATGGATGAACCCACCTCAGGTACCACCTCCACCTCAGTCAATAGCTCCCCCTCAGGTAACACCTCCCCCTCAGGTAACACCTCTCCCTCGAGCATTGCCTGCCCACCTCCTCAGGCAACCGCTGTGCATCAGATTACACCTCCCCCTCGAGCAGCACCTGCCCATCAGATAACACCTATTCCATGGGAAATACTCGTTTCATTGTGTTGCTCTTTCAGGGGCTGGGATGGATGCGAGGGTTTGGGTTCACCTTGTTCCCCACCTTCGTACCCCTTTCTGTCACTGCCTTACTTCTTGCCCTCGCATTTGGTCACCTGCTTGCCTCTCTCTCCATCCCCACACCCTGAGCAGGCCTGGATGGATGCAAAGGCAGCGGCCATAGTGATGAAGGCGGTGCACAACACAGTGAACACGGGTCTTATGCAGCCGCTTAGGCTTGTGGAAACCTCGTTTATCCCTCTTTCTCCTCTCATTCAATTGTGTTTCAATCGCAGGGCTGGATGCGAGGGCATCAGCCGTAGTGATGAGGGCGGTGCAGAACACAGTCAAGAGTGGCCGCACAGTCAAGAGTGGCCGCACAGTCAAGAGTGGCCGCACAGTCAAGAGTGGCCGCACAGTCAAGAGTGGCCGCACAGTCAAGAGTGGCCGCACAGTCAAGAGTGGCCGCACAGTCAAGAGTGGCCGCACAGTCAAGAGTGGCCGCACAGTCAAGAGTGGCCGCACAGTCAAGAGTGGCCGCACAGTCAAGAGTGGCCGCACAGTGGTGTGCAGCATCCACCACGCACAGTGGTGTGCAGCATCCACCAGCCGTCCATCCACCAGCCGTCCATCCACCAGCCGTCCATCCACCAGCCGTCCATCCACCAGCCGTCCATCCACCAGCCGTCCATCCACCAGCCGTCCATCCACCAGCCGTCCATCCACCAGCCGTCCATCCACCAGCCGTCCATCCACCAGCCGTCCATCCACCAGCCATCCATCCACCAGCCGTCCATCCACATCTTGGAGTCGTTTGATGGAGTATGGATGCACACAAGCACTGCATGCGGCATAGTCGTGTGCACCATACCATCCACTGGTAGTCGTCCATTGATGGGTTTGTGGCGTTTGACAAGGTAAACCATTAAAATCTACACTGTAATGAATGCATGTAGCACACAAAGACTGCATGCACTATATGTGTGACATACTCCGCACGGGACATTCTGTGGTGAGCAGTGCGCCATACACCAGCCGTCTGCCGTCTTTTGGTGCTTGACGAGGAAAATCATTCGTGCAAAGTGCATTCCATATGCGTTGTAGTGAATATACACTGTGATGAGGCTTACAATGTAACGAAATGTAGTCAACATCTCCACACATTGACTAGCATCGCACAGCAACTTGCCCCTTCTCTATGCTACTCGTCCTCCCCGTCCGTCCACTGTACCTGTCTATGCGCCTGGCAGTTGCTCCTGATGCAGCCAGGAGGAGAGGTCATCTATGCAGGATCGTTGGGGATGCAGTCGTGTGATCTCATTCACTACTTCAAGGTGAGGCAAACAGTGCTACTCTAGGTAAGTAAGGCATACGAGTGGCTCTTCACCAGAAGATAATGTAAGTATATATATACACACATATACATGTGCAAAGCAACGAGCCGAGTTCTACTCGGCTCGTCCCTGGCATGGGCACACTCGTACGAGCAATGTCACGAGCCGAGTTCAGCTCGTCCTAGTTTTTTCAGCGGAAACTCAAGCTCGTGACTCGTCTCTTGTCACGAGCTTTTTAAAAGCTCGTCCGAGCAGCTCGGCTTGTTGCCTTATACCAGCATGTAGAGAGCTTTTCATAAATATATAACTATATATATATATGTTAAGTGTCTGCGAAAGCAGTTGTGCATCAAGGTAGGGCACAGCTATATTGGAAAGGACAGGTCTATCATCTTAGACAATGGCGTCTAGGCAAAGGGTCAGGACGTTGGACATTAGCCTAGGCCACAATGAACACGAATTCTCCAAAAGAAACTCAAAATAGCATCAATATGCAAATACTTATTCATAATAAAGAACCATACCAAATAGACTTCAAGCAGGGTCTATTCCAACATACCAGCACGTGACAGGAACTTCGGCTGGAACCACTGGTACGGGATTGGATCGGAACACTAAGCCATCTTCTTTTCATGGCTTACCTGTTCTTCTCCCTCACCTTCCGCACTTACCCACTTCCCTTCCATCCACCATCCATCTTTGATGCAATGCCATCCCCCTTCTCTCCTCATGATCCCCCCCCACATGCGTGCAGTCCATCCCAGGGGTGCCCCATTCAGCCCGGCGCCAACCCTGCACTGTGGATGCTGGAGGTCACGGCGCCAGCAGCAGCAGAGAGGCTTGGAGTCGACTTTGTCCACCTGTTCCGCCAGTCAGAGCAGTTCAGGTGAGAATAACAGAGCCACAGGGACAGGCGAGAGCAGCAGAGGTTCAAAACTTCTGGTTTGTCAGTCAATCCAGTTCAGGTGAGAACAACAAAAGCTCCAAACAGCAAGCCTTGCCTCTTCTTCCAACTCAGTAACCCTCACACACCCTTCCAATTTCTCACATACCTTCTTACAACCTACCCTGCAATCCCAACCCCTCCCCATCTCTCCCCACCCTTCCTTCCTGAATTCTCATCCCTTCCTTTCCGTTAGACGCATAGCCTCTCTGATTCAACCAGGTATTTGCCGGAAAAAAAAAGGTGAAACAACATCGTTCTCCCCTTCTCCAATACCCGTACCCCCTTCTCCCAAATTCACTCTCCACTCCCTTATCCCCCATGCCCACAGGTCCGTATTGTTGGCCATTCAGGAATCCAGTGTGCCTCACTCGCCTCCTCTCCTCCTGTCTCCTCCCCTCTCCTTAACATGCTCACCCCCGTACCTCATTATTCCATGTCCTTCCCGTAGCCCTCACGTCCACAGGTCTGGAAAAATCACCCATTGAGGGCATCGCCAGCGTGCCTCCTCGCCTCCTTGCGTCCTCTCCGCTCCCCCTCATACAGCTCTGTACACTCCCTGATCGACAAATCTACATGCTTTGCTCCCCCTTACCCCCCCGGCACCCACAGGTCCCTTCACTCACTCATCCATGAATGCAGTGTGCCTGTCAAAGGCGCTCCGGACGTGTTCTTCCCAACGCAGCACCCCACAACGCTGCTCTCCCAGTTCACAACGAACCTGTGGAAGCGCCACCGCATGTACTGGCGCATACCCGACTACAACGGCACCGCATGTACTGGCGCATGCCCGACTACAACGGCACCGCATGTACTGGCGCATGCCCGACTACAACGGCACCGCATGTACTGGCGCATGCCCGACTACAACGGCACCGCATGTACTGGCGCATGCCCGACTACAACGGCACCGCATGTACTGGCGCATGCCCGACTACAACGGCACCGCATGTACTGGCGCATGCCCGACTACAACGGCACCGCATGTACTGGCGCATGCCCGACTACAACGGCACCGCATGTACTGGCGCATGCCCGACTACAACGGCACCGCATGTACTGGCGCATGCGCGACTACAACGGCACCGCATGTACTGGCGCATGCCCGACTACAACGGCACCGCATGTACTGGCGCATGCCCGACTACAACGGCACCGCATGTACTGGCGCATGCTCGACTACAACGGCACCGCATGTACTGGCGCATGCCCGACTACAACGGCACCGCATGTACTGGCGCATGCCCGACTACAACGGCACCGCATGTACTGGCGCATGCCCGACTACAACGGCACCGCATGTACTGGCGCATGCCCGACTACAACGGCGCGCGCCTCTTCTTCTCCCTCATCATGGCTCTCCTCATCGGCGCCGTCTTCTTCGCCTTCGGACGCACCCGCGACATCCCGCAGCAGATTGTGAACGTCACCGGGGCGCTGTACACAGCAGCTCTCTTCCTCGGATGGAGCAATCTCGCCACGATCCAGCCGATGCTTGCGGTGGAAAGGAGTATTTATTACCGGGAGCGGGGTGCCGGCATGTATGCAGCGATCCCGTACGCGCTCGCGCAAGGGGTGATAGAGCTGCCATACCTTTCGGTTCAAGTAGGAATTTACGCATCAGTAACATACTTGCTTATTCGGTTCGAGTGGACGCCTGGGAAGTTCCTGTGGTACCTGCGGTTCCACTTCCTCACGCTGCTCTACTTGACGTGTTTCGGCATGATGACGAGTGCCATCACGCCCGCTCAAGGGCTGGGCACGCTGCTCTCCGCATTCATCTTCTCCTTCTGGAACCTTCTCTGTGGATTCCTCCTGCCGCAACCAGTGAATGTGATACTAAGAAAATGCATCAACATAGTGGTAGTCCCATGATGTAGTGCTCATGTTTGTGTCCACTGTTCTCTCCAATACTGTTGCCTCTCTCACAGCATCAGTGTCTTGTCTCACGGCTATACTTGTATAAATTTTGAGAAGTCTCACAAGCGATGTTGGCACTATCTAGTATCATCTCCACTGTCGTATCGAGTGACTCTCCCATGCATGCATGCAATCATCGAAAAAATATGTGCGTCGGAAAATACCTTATTGCATCAACTCCTTCGCTCATTTCCCCCATATTCAACAGGAAATTCCTGTTTACTGGAAATGGCTTTACTGGATCAACCCGGTCGCATGGTCTCTCTACGGCCTCTCAGCTTCTCAGGTAGACCCATCGCGAACCAGTCCCGCAACCCCTACTTGCGCCTTCGTGTATCAGATTATATACGCGGGTGTTCAGTTCCGTATCTTACTTTCCACTGCACTCCTAATTATAGCGCACGGAGCGTGGGAAATGAGTGCAGGGAATTCGCAATTAAGGGGTAAAGTAACTCATGATTGACTAGCCTTACCGCTAGTATTTTCACTCCTCCCACTCCCCCTACCGCCTGCTCCTGGTACCATTCCAAACTTCTCTCCACTTGTTCCTTGTTTCACCTCTGGTTGCTTTACAGTTGGGAGATGTTTCAACACTGGTGGTGAGTCCACCAGGCATGCCAGCTCAGACGGTATCGCAGTTCATCCAGCTCTTCTACGGCTTCTCCCATGACTGGCTCGGCTACGTCAATGCCGCTCTGCTCGGCTTCTCCTGCCTCTTTTTTTGTGTGTTCGCCTATGCCCTACGTAACCTTAACTTCCAATGGAGATGAGTTGCGTTGAAGGATGATGCGGATTGTGGGATACCGTCATCACCCGGATATACCCCCAGGTGGGGGTGTAAAAAAACCTGGAAAAATGGTGGGTGGGCTTATAATGTGGTAAATTTTATAACCCCATGGGCTAAATAAATGACACTTGATTTTAAAATGCTGGAATGTAGATTTCAACCTGGCGATGTAAATCGATGCTAACACAAAGAGGGTCGCTGCTGAAAGTTCCGAGAATGTGACGTACAGTCAAGAATCCCAGTCAGCACCTGCTCAAATGTTGCAGATTTCGCGGACGTGCACCTCCTGCGGCAATTTTGCCAAGCGAGCCAGGGGGGATTTCGTCAGGCACGTCTGTGACGGTTCGTTTAGGCGCGTTAGTGGCTATTTCGCTACAAAAAAAACACCAGAATTCAATGGGTGCGCTTATACGAAGATTGACAGAAATTGGGGTGGGCTTATAATCGGCAACCGGCTATAAGCCCACTAATACGATTATAACCGCATGGGTGTAACATAGGCCTGGGGGTATATCCGGGTGATGACGGTATGTCATATTAGTAACAGTGATCGCGGAACACATTGCTGCTGCAAACTGCTGCGAGTTGCCACCGGTAAAGAACGGGTCTGTCTGATAACCATGGGTAAATAGTCCTGTCAGTAGCGGGCTGGTCTAGGCGAGTAGTATAGCGTGTATCTGTCAGATTACAATTGTATCTCTAAGCTACAGTAGGGTCACTCCTTAGTGAGTACAACACTTTAGGGTTAGATTTCCCCTACTTGTACTCACCTCTTGCCTAGTTCAATCATTCACTCCTAGTTCTATTCTTGACATGTTATCAGAGTAGGAACCGTTCCTACATGGGCCCACCGTTCCGCCTAGTGGTAGCGCCACGCCCTACACAGTAGCCAGCGCGCTGGCGCCCCTAGCTCTCACTGTCGCGACCCTTGCAGCCCGTGCGCTGCCCCTGCGACCGCGCTGCCCCTGCAGCCGTGCTCGCCCCTACGACCGCGCTGCCCCTGCAGCCGTGCTCGCCCCTGCAGCCGTGCTCGCCCCTGCTACCGTGCTGCCCCTGCAGCCGCGCCTGCCCCTGTGGCCCGCGCGCTGCCCCTGCAGCCCGTACGTCGCTCCTGCAGCCCGTACGTCGCCCCTGCAGCCCGTTCACGCTGCCCCTGCAGCCCGTTCATGCTGCCCCTGCAGCCCGTTCACGCTGCCCCTGCAGCCCATTCACGCTGCCCCTGCAGCCCGTTCACGCTGCCCCTGCAGCCCGTTCACGCTGCCCCTGCAGCCCGTTCACGCTGCCCCTGCAGCCTGTGCGCAGACCTACCGAGCCGCGCGTCGCCTCTGCAGCCCGTCCGCGCGGCCCCTGCAGCCCGCGCGTCGCCCCTGGAGCCCGTGCGCCGCCTCTGCGGCCCGTTCGCGCCGCCCCTACAGCTCGCGCACGGACCTGCCGAGCCGAGCGTCGCGCTCTGCTGCAGCCCGCGCGTCGCGCCCTAAGGCAGCCCGACGCCTCGCGCTCTGCTGCCCCTCGCGTCACGCACTGCTGCAGCCTGCGCCAGCGCCCTGCCCTGCGCGTGCTGGCGCCCGGCCCTGCGCCAGCGCCCTGCCCTGCGCCCGCGCCCTGCCCTGCGCCAGCGCCCTGCCCTGCGCCAGCGCCCTGCTATACCCAAAATATAATTAAAATGTTTATTAAAAAAAAAGAAAATCAAGGGCCCTAGGTGCTTCTGCCCTAGGAGCTACTGCCTACTACTGCCCTGCTGTGGCCGCGCGCCGCCCTGCTCTGGCCGCGCGCCGCCCTGCTGCTGTTACTACTGCTGCTGCTGCTACATGTGCTACTGGGAGTGGTGGAGGTGCTGCTGGGAGTGCAGGAGGTGCTGCTGGCGCTGTAGGAGCTGGAGGTGCTGGACCTACTCCTGACCGTCACTGTCTGTCATGGCCACTTCCGTGGCAGTTGCTGCGACCAGGGGTGGATAGCAGCGGGCACTGCTTCTCCCGGACGACCCCACCCCTCGGCAGCTTCGTGAGTTTGTTATTCAGCGAGGTCGTCCTGGTGGTGGAGGTTATCGTTCTGTTAGGACTGCTGCTCTAGGTGCTAGTGAGTCTGCTGCAGCTCTAGGTGCCCGTGTGTCTACCGACGCTCTAGGTGCTAGTGCGTCTACTACCACAGGTCCTGCCTCAGATGAGGTCTTGCACACTTTCACGCTTGACTCAGGCGCGTCACATTGCTTCTTTCGTGATTGCACCACAGTCACACCACTCACAGCACCTGTCCCAGTCTCACTGGCTGACCCCTCTGGGGGCCCAGTGGTTGCGAGAGCCTCCACGGTCCTCCCTTGTCCAGCAGTCCCCTCCGGCTCTTTGTCAGGTCTCCACCTCCCCACGTTCTCGACGAACTTGGTGAGCAACGCTGCCATTCAGGATGTCTGGGTTGATACCTTTATTCCTGGAGGGCAGCGTGTGGCGATCTGTACGTGCTCCCGGACTGGCTGTCACCTGGCTACGTTCACTCGACAGCCTGGGTCTAGTCTGTACACACTGACCACTGCGTCTGCACAGGTGGCTGAGTCAGGTCAGGTAGCTGCGTCGAGTCGAGCGTCTGCGTCAGGGCAGTTAGCCGCGTCTTGCTCGTGCAGAGTACTCACGCACGAGACTCAGCGCTGGCACCACCGTCTTGGTCACCCCTCCCTGCAGCGTCTGCGCGGCATGCACTCCCGGCTCCTGGTCTCTGGCCTCCCTGAGACCCTGCCCCCCCTCCCGCGCTCACTTGCGCCGCCGTGCCTTCCTTGCGTCGAGGGGCGGCAGCGCGCCGCTCCTCACTTCTCCGAGTTCCCTCTGACCACTGCTCCTCTGCAGACTCTTCACCTGGACGCGTGGGGCCCGGCCCCCGTCGGTGCGACGGACCAGAAGCGCTACTTCCTGCTGGTTGTTGACGTTGACGACTACACACGCTACACCACAGTCTTCCCCTTGCGTCGCAAGGCGGACGTCAGTGGTGTTTTGATCCCCTGGATCCGTGCTACTCGTCTCCAGCTACACGAGCGCTTTCAGCAGGACTTCCCAGTCCTGCGAAGCACTCGGACAGGGGTGGTGAGTTCTCTTCTGGCGTCCTTGAGACGTTCTGCCAGGATGTGGGCATCGCCAAGTCGTTCACGCTTCCGGCCTCTCTGCAGCAAAATGGGATCGCTGAGCGTCGCATTGGTCTGATCATGGAGGTTGCTCGTACCTCCATGATCCATGCGGCTGCTCCCCATTTCCTGTGGCCATTTGCAGTCCGATACGCCGCGCATCAGCTCAACCTCTGGCCCCGTGTCTCTGTGTCAGAATGAACAAGAGTGATTGCACTAGGAAAGAGTTGGGTACAAGTAGGAAACCCTAAACTTACTGTACCCCATAGTAACTACCCCACTACAGCCTAAACAAACTGTAGCAGATATAACATTTGACACACCCCCATAGGCAAAGTGGGGGAGAGCAAGGGGTCACAAGACCAGTCAAGAAAGACAAAGCAAGCTCAGGGTGGATCACAACGTCACCACACACTCTGAGCACAAGCAAAGGGCCACAAGGCCAGTCCACATGCAGAGGCATATATGCAACACAAACAGCACAGTGATCTCTACCTAGCAAAGCAAGCATGCAAGTATATATACATATAGATCACAGTACAAGCAGAGCCTACAGCAAGTGAGGAAAAGTGGGCACAAGCCCTAGCATAGTGCAGAAACGCTGATGATCACCAGACTGAAGTGCCTTGGTGAATATATCAGCAGTGTTGGCCCGAGTGGCCACGTAACGCAGACGAAGCTGACCACGCTGCTGCAACTCTCGAGCCAGGAAGTAACGCAGAGCGATGTGCTTCGTTCTGTGCTCCAGTCTGTGCTCCTCACACAAGGCAATGGTAGCCTTGTTGTCGACGTACAGCACTGGAGGAGAACGAGGCCACTCTCCCAAGTCAGTCAGCAGGTAGGTGAGCCAGCGTAACTCCTGTGCAGCCATGGCTGTGGCGTAGATCTCAGCCTCACAACTGGAGCTGAGAACTGAAGACGAACGTGTAGAACGCCAAGAAACTGAACCAGAGCCAAGGCTGAAGGTGTAACCCTGTGACGACCGCTGAGTAGCCTGGTCGTCAACCCAAGAAGCGTATGAGTGCCCAGTGAGGACAACTGAGCTCCTCCCTCCAAGCACGA